TTTTCTGCTGAACCTGGCTAAGGAGGGAGGCAAGCCCGGGATTCAAACTGTGAGCAACTTGAGAAACACATTTTTTAGTAAGTCAAGGTAAAGACGGAGGCGGGTGAAGACATCTGGCTGAGTGAACTAATGGCTCTGGGGTAAGAGGAGCCGTACCCTGTGGAGACGGGGAAAATTACCCGCTGCTGGTTTTAATTTAAGACAGAAAAAAAAAATCTTATTCTATTAGGCCAGATAGTGCTCTGTTGTCCGATTGCGTGGAGTTTGGAATAATATTTTTCAAACAGAACTACTGCTATTTCAAGTAATTACACAGCTAAAAGCAGCCATTTGGGGTCGAGCGAGATCTCATCATGGTTTGATTTCTCTCAATTCCCTCTGGTGTCATTTTCTGTTACATTTGAGGAATTCCTCAATAAAGATGTCAAATAGAGAGAAGGTTTCACTCCCCAGAGGACGGACCTGGCCGCCCTCCAGGACATTCCCACAAGAAAGTAGCCTCACTGACTTAGACGAGAAAGAGTTCAACTGTGAACACCCAGGCGAGAAAAAGAGCCTCCGGACCTCAGCCTCACGGTTTGCAGCAGACTTGAAGCCTTCCCAAACTACTTCTGTCTACAGTGATCGGGCTTTTGCCTTGGCCTCCGTCCCTGAGGAATCCAACCGTGGCTCCGAGAGGCCAAAACTCTTGACTCAGAGGTCTGAAGACCAAACGACATCCAGGCCTTCCCGCCCCGCCTCCCCACCGCACAGACAGGGGCCTCTGGGACTTCCAAGGGGGGAGGGGGTGCGGTGAGAGGACATTCGGCAGCTCATTCAGCCTTCCTTCACAGCCACCCTAACACACACCTCCCGGAGGGCTCCATGCTGGACGCTTCTTCAGTGGCCAGTAGTCCTCTGGCCAAGGCCCCTGGCAATGAGCCATGGGGAATGGTGGGGATCATGGCAGATGGCCCAGTGCAGCACCCTCTAGCACTGCCCTTGGATATGATCAGGCCAGGCTTGACCTCACGCCCGGGGGTCCCAGCTCTGCCACAGCCCCCGCTCTGGAGTATGGAGTTTGTGGCATCATGGCTGCTAGGGCAGCTGCTCCAGGGTGGACGGTCAGAGCTCCCCATTCAGTTGAGGGAGAGGGGGGCTCACTATAGAGCAATGCAGGCGTGGCACAAAAGGGCAACCAGCACTGGAATGGTGGGTTCAAGTCTAGCCTCCCGCCCGGGTCGGCAGGAAGGAATCTCTGTGTATTCCAGGTTCAGAAGGAAATGTCGCCATTCCTGTGGCGCACAGAGCTGCACGGGCTCCTCTCGGGCCCCACCCCTGTTCCCTGGTCCCCACAGTGTCCAGGGCAAGCAGCAGCCAGGCTGGAATGGGCCATTTGCCCGTGACACCCTCTAACCTGGAAGTGTTGACCAGCCGTCTGGTGATAGTAATAAGAAAGAGATCCACGCATATGGGCAGGCGGGGCTGCTGCCCGGAACCTCCACCACATCAGGACAGAGAGGTCGCCACTTCTCCTGCGGTTTAATCAGCACTCTGCCCCTCTGCGGCCACTATCACTGAGGGTCCCCTCGCTGGGGAGAGGAGGGAAGCTGGCGCACACTCTGAGCCTCAGCAGCCAGGCCTTGAGCTAGACTCTTGAGGTGCCAGACCAGCTTGTTCTCAGGTGTGCTTGTCGAGCCGGCCTAGGCCAGACTCCGACGTCCTGTCACTGTGCATGGCAGCTCACTGGTGGACAAGGGGCTCTCAAAGCTCAGTTGACCAGCCTGGGGTCATACAGTGAGTCTAAGTTGAAGCCCCAGCTGGAGCCAAGATCTGACTTCTCTGAACTGGAGTTTGGTCTTGAGAAAGAAAAAGATCCAGCAAAAAAGTCAGTGGGATAACTACTTACTAATAGAAATAATAAATTACAGCCAGTGGAAGGATGTGCCCTGAGCTGCAAGCAGAGGTGCAGTGGAGAGCCTTCTTCAGGCTGGAGCTTCCTGACAGGTGATCATGGGGAAGGACAGGGGGTTGACATTGATCAGCCTAGAAGAACCCACTGGGCACAAGGCCACTGAAACTGAGACCCACACAGACCCCACTGTGAGTCCAGAGGTGTGGGAGGGGCCTCTGCTGTAGCGGAAGCAAGGGTGTTGCCCGACAAGCGGTCCTGCATGGGTAACAGCAGAGCTGGCTGCAGAGCTCTGTGCATCAGACCTGGCCCTGGCCTTGCAGACGCCTGAGACATTCTGTTCGGTGCTGGCCTCTGCTATGTATGATGTCACCAAACTCACAAGGGCCCTCTTAAACAAGGATGACACTTTCCATCTTAGAGTGGAGGAAGTGGGCTCAACGAGGTGAAAGACCTGACTAGAGTGGCACTATTCATAAATGAAGGGTCATGATTTAGCCCCCCCCCCCGCCCCAATGGCAGTGACATAGGTCTGTCCTCCAGGCCAGAGTGACGCTGCCTGCTGCTCTGAGGATGTCACACAGGGACAGTGAACTATGCCTCCCCCAATGCCCAATCCCCGAGGCACCCTCTCTGCCACAACTGGGCGCAGCGTTGCGTCTGGATGGATTGCACGAGATAACTCTTGGTTAATACTTAACCTGGTGCATGCCACAGCAAAAGTTGTCCTGTCCCTGGTTCCACAGTTCCACCCCCGGCTTCTTCCCCCCATATCCTTCCCATCCTCCCTTACCGCCCCCTAGACTTGAGAAGCCACCCGCCCCTCTCCACACAGGCTGTGACCTGACCCAGCCAGCCTCCCCCGCCTCTGTTGAGTCTGCTCAGGGCTTCTTTCTCCTCTTTGAAGGCCCCACGTCTCCCCCGCGTCTTCCCCCACCCTTCCCCAGCGAGGCATATAGCTTTTCGCAGGCCCTTCTGGGCTTTAGTAACTCGCCGTCCAGACCTCTGTTTTGGCACTCATTTGGAGTGTAATTACATGGTCACAGATCTGTTTCCCATAACAAGATCATGTGAGAACCAATATGCATTAAACAAACCCAGGAGGAGCTGAGTCCCACAGGCTACTAGGAGGCAAAGGTAAGAGCACACAGGGTGCTGGGCCAGCAGCCCTTACCCCACAAGCCAGCTGGTGCGCTAAATGTCAGCTTGATCCCTTTATGAGGGAAGTACTGCATGGAAAGTCATTAAAAAAAAAATCTCTGGACCCTTTGGTTCCACTTGTGGCAAGCAATCCTAAAGGAACATTCGAGAAAGCCGGAAACGAAAACATTTTAGGTCCAGAATCACCTCTGGATACTGATAGCACAAACAAAAAAATCCAGGTGCTATGGCTCAAGCCTGGAATCCTACACAGGAGGCTGAGATCTGAGGACTGTCGTTCAAAGCCAGCCTGGGCAGGAAAGTCTATGAGACTCTTATCTCCAATAAACTACCCCTAAAAGCCAGAAATGAAGCTGTGGTTCAAGTGGTAGAGCACTAGCCTTGAGTGAAGTAGCTCAGGGACAGCCCTCCGACCCTGAGTTCAAACCCCAGGACTGGCATGTGCGGTCTGCCGTGTGATGTCAATTCTCTTGTTACAGATCTCAAACCACCTCTTATAGGTTGAATGATGTCCTTCAAAAACTGAAGGTCTAACCATGCCCTTCCCCCAGTTCTTGTGACTTTGTTTAGAAATCTTACCCTGAGAACATGAGGGAGGGGAGTAACACTGTTCAAAAAGAAATGTACTCATTACCTTAATTATGCAACTGTAACCCCTCTGTACAGCACCTTTACAATAAAATTTTAAAAAGAGAGAAGAGCAGGAAAAAAGAAATATGACTCCATCACGTGATCTGGTTAAGACGAGATGGTTACGGCGGCTCTGAGCCAATATGACTGGTATCCTTATAACAAGGGAAACCTGGACGTGAACCAACACACATAGAGCTGGGGCAGCCAGACACATGGGCAAACCCTCTGTAAACCAAGGGATTTCTAAGGTGACCAGGAACTAGGAGAGGGGCCTGGGATAGATTTTTAGCTCACAGCCCATAGATGAAGCCAGCCATCTCAATGCACAAGTAGGTCAGAACTAGTTTCTTGTTTAAGCCACCCACTGTGCTGTGTGCACAGGTCCTGAACTCAGGATCTCTTGCTTTCCTAGCTCTACCACACCTCAGCCACACCCTTAGCCCTAAGATACCCAGTTTGTTACTTTATTATGATACCCCTAAGAAACTCACAAAGGTCATTAGCAACTTATCAGCTGGTTGTCAAGCAGGTGGTAACAGGGGCCACATAAAAATACCTGCGATACACATGACATAAAAGAGAAAAAGTGCAAAACCAGCTGACCAGCTGAGCACGCTGTTATAAGAGAACACCTGGACCCAGAAAGAACACAGAAGGACGCGGCAGAGCAGTTCTCCAGTGTTTTCCTATGTTCCTCTACTCTTCTGTGGTTTCCCAATTTTATCCGGCAGAAGTGCTCTATGGATACACATTTTACACAACTGGTTTAAAACTGTTCTTGAACCTCAGGAATTTGGAGGCATACAAGATTATGGGCTATTCTGTGTCCCCTCAAAATGCCTATGTCGAAGGAATTCAATCCCTGGTACCTCCAAGTGTGACTATATTTGGAGACAAGGCCTTCAAGAGAAAATCAAATTAAAAATAGAATTGCAAGGTTGGGCTCTACTCCAATAATCGGACTGGTTTTCTCCTAAGAAGAGATTAGGGCACCAGACACATGAGTACACAAAGGGAAGACATGAAGACACCACCAGCAGGCCACCCTCTGCACGCTAAGAGCAGCTCCGAGGAGGCACAAGCTGCCATACCTGGACGCTGGGCTGTCAGCCTCTGGAACAGCGAGGAAATAAAAATCCCCAGTGTTTATGCCACCCCGTCTACAGTATTTTGTTATCACAGCCTGAGCAAGCTAATACAAGGAGCAGAAGGAGGTAAGCTTTCCCACAGGCCCTAGAGGTATCAGCTAGAGCTAAACACCAGGCAGGCTGCGCCCAGGGCGGGCGCCCAGGGGCGGGCGCGGCCACACACTCACCCAGGCAGTTGTGTCCATCGTGTGCCAGCATGAAGCCGTCAAAGCAGGTGCACCTGTAGTTTCCTGGGATGTTGATACAGTCGTGGACGCAGCCGCCATTGTAGTAGTCATTCTCACACTCATCAATGTCTGCAAGGTGAGACACAAGAGGGGTCAGACAGAGGCCCTGGAGTCCCCTCCCCCAACACCGCACACTGCCAGCACCTCGTGGCAACGGGTGACCCCACGGGCATTTAATAAAGTCTTTCTGAGGGGTGAGGACTTAGGGGTTATAAAAACAAAGATCCTGAATCTGCAGCCAGGCTTACCACCAGTCTACAGAACAAAGCCATGGTGTGCGTGTGCGTGCATGTGTACAGGGCCATGGTGTATGTGTGAATGTATGTGTGTATGTGTGCATGTATGTGTGTACAAGGCCATGGTGTGTATGTATGTGTACGTGAGCACATCGTATGCGTATGTATGTGTATGTGTGTGCGTGCATGTGTGTGTTACCTTCTCATTCCTGACACGGGTGATCATGAAAGGCTCACACCTGGCTCTGTCTCTCTGTAATGCTTCAACCCTGCCGACGTGTGGGGTCCCTGTCAATGGCCCCTGAAAATCATCTCTCCTGAAGCTGAAGAGACAGAGCACCCAATCTGCCTATCATCAAAAGGTGATGATGTAGTGCGAAGGCGAAGCCCACCCATCCCACCCAGAAGAGTTGCCTTCGTGGCAGGAGCTGCAGCCTGACTGTCAGCTGTCCCAGCGTTCCCGTCACAACACAGGCTTCTGTCTTGCAAACAATGGCCAGTAGCCTTGGTAAAGGTCAGTCTTTTCTTTTGTCCTTTTTTGCTGTTTTAAGTCTTTTTCAGCATTTCCCAGCCGGGGTCAAAGGGCTATCAGTTCCGAAGTTCCAGAGAGAAGAGGAGGAACATTGCAGCACAGGACTGGGACCAGCCTGTTGAACATTTGGTCCCTGACCCGATGGCTCGACAGCAAGTCATTACCTCTTCTTCAAGGTGGCTTTGGGGCACAGAGAGACCCTTTTGGCCATGACCTGAGACACCAGCTCTAAACACGCCCCAGGCTCTTGGGTGACCTCCACAGGCCCCAAGATACTCGCTGGGAGGAGGGAGCCGGAAGTGCTGCAAGGCAGAACCAGAAGTGTGGGCCTGGAAGTGATTCTCAGGAGATGACAGAAGGAACCGGCAAGCTCGAGCAAGAAGGGATTTGAGGCCAAGTTCAACCTGCTGAAGCAGGTGTCCAGCCAGCCCCCCAAAAGGCCAGAAGAGCCCGGAGGTGGGCTGGAGCCCGCTCAGCAGGCTGTGTTACTGCGGGAGGCCCTGGCTCTCATGTTGGTACAGGGGGCAGAGTTAGCTGCAGTGAGGGGAATCTAGGGCCAGCCTGGAAAACACCGGTGTCTCGGGAGGTACTGACCGAGCTGCTTCCTGTGGTGGTAACCAAGCACCGCCCTGATGCCTGCCTGCCGGAGACCTCCCAGAGCAGCAGGGATAACTTCCGTGAAAGCGGACGCAATGATGACAGAGCACAGGGTCTGGGCTGTGTGGTCCTCTTTCCAGGCTTACCCAGCCAGCAGCAATGAGAGAACAGAGGCTCCGAGGGCCCAAGGGACAAGGGGCTCTGCCACACCGCCTGCAGTGGCCATCTTCTTGTGTGTGTATGACGGGGGAGCCGGCTTGATTTCTGCTTCTAATCATCTTTCTTACATTGGTCATTTTAAATCGCCTTAAAGGAGCCTGTAAGGCTTTAGGTTTATCGAAAGCATGTATTGTCTATAAAGATTGAGGGCTGGGTGTGGATGGCTCACATCTGTAAGCCTACTTATTATTCAGGAGGCTGAGATCTGAGGATTGAGGTTTGAATCCAACCCAGGAAGAAAAGTCTGTGAGACTCCTGTCTCCAATTAACAACCAACCAACCAAACAAACAAACAAGCAAAAAACAGAAGTAGGGCCATGGCTCAAGTGGAAGAGTGCTAGCCTTGAGTAAAGAAGAAGCCAGGGACAGCACCTAGGCCTTGAGTTCAAACCCCAGGACTGGCTCAAAGGGGAAAAAAAAAACCTAGAAGGACACTGACTGCTTCCCAGTCTCCACTGGCAGCTCTGACCTCTCGTCAGGGTCAGGTATGACCATTTCACCGCCTCTCCAAAGCAATGCAGCCCACCCTTACGTCCCTCCAGAGCACCTCCCTGGGCTTCCCAGCGTGTGAATGCTGCTCTCCTCCCACCCTGTCAGCATCTGCCCAGCTCAGCAGGGTGACTGTAACAAGGCTGTAGGCGGCCCTGGAGTCCCTGATTTCCAGGCCTGTCACATGAGGACACCTCTTCTGAGTTAGCCTTGCAGTCCCTCCTCCCCCCCCAAAGTTCCTCTTTCCTTCCCTCAGAGCAAGTGGCTGTCAGGAAGCCAGCCTGGTCCCAACCCTAACCCAAACAGCACATGCCTCCAGCGCTTTTGCGCTGTCTTTCCCCGGGTGTTTGTCTGTCTGTCTCTTTTCTCTCACCTCAGGAGGGAGCACACTAGGACGTACACCTGAAATACACACAGGCCCTTTCACTACTCTGAATAGGCATTTTAATCTATTTTATGACCGAGCAAACTAAAGTGCAAAGAGGTTCTGTAACTGTTCAAGGTCACACAGTAAGTGGTAGGTCAAGGATCAGAACAAAGGCCTTTCAATCTATGAAGCCCATGTCCTTTCTCCTAAGCTACAATGTCCATCACATACCAGCAATTGGGAAAACGCTTTTTCCATGTCATTTCATCTTTAGAAAACCCTGTCCAGTCATCTGAATGCCTGTCCTTCTGTCCCTCCACATCATCTGAATGCCTGTCCTTCTGTCCCTCACATCCTCCTCTTCCATCCTTCCACAGGTATGTGTGCTTGTCCATCTGCCCAACAACCAGCCAGCCACCATGGATCCACTTACCAAGACAACCATCTACCCCCATTATCCACTCATCTACCTAGCCCATCCATCCAAGCACTCACCCAACTCATCTACTCATCTATTTATGCTAAAATATATCTATTTATGCTAAAACATCTGGTCAGCTGGGCATCTTTCCATATATCCAATCACTTCTGCAGCTACCAATTTATCCAGGCAAGTATCTGTGTATTCATCCATGCATACACCCATCTAAATATTCACTCTTCTATTAATCTAAAAATGCACCCACACATCTACCCATCCATCCTTCCAAATACCTAACCATCCATCCATATATTCAATGATTCAAATTCTCACCATTCTATTAAATCTTACATGCTACACACACACACACACACACACACACACACACACAAACACCTGCCTACTTACCTACATACACCATATTCAAACATTCATCCATCTATTGATCCAAACTCGTATTCACCCACTCATCCAATCCTTCAAACATCATCAACCAAACAGGTTAAAATACAGGCACAATAATATTTTCAAAAAAAAAATGTTAGGACAGAGGAAAAGAAACGAGGGTGGGTGATAAACTGGTGACAGTATGGGGACACATTTGGTAAGTCCATTATGATGACAAAAGGTAGGCTACAATTTTGGTTGGGTTTCTTAGAAGCTAAAGCAAAGCAAGCAACAGAACCAATTACAGACAGAGGTACCATAGCCATCCATGCAATTCCAGCTGCTGCTTCAGTGATGTGGAGATCTGTAGGTCCCTAAGCCTCCCAAGAGGGGACAACCTCTTCCCCCCAGGAGGGAAACTGAGTGCCTCAGTTGCCTGGCAACCTTCTAACTTATGCTTACTGTCTGGGTGAGATCGCTGACAGTGACCTTTTCACTATCAGGATTAGTAATCCAGCCACCAAGCCCAGAATGGCAGAATAAAGTGATCACTCAAGAGTCAACAAGCCCATTTATAGACTTTGCTTTCACTCCCCACGGTACAGCCCACCGTGCTTTACCAGTGGCCCGAAAGACACAGGAAGCTCCACCACCCGGATCTCTTCCCTTCAGCTCAGAGGTCCCTAGGTCTGAGCGTGGCCTCTCCTCCCCAGCCTGGCTGCAGCCTGCAGCATGTCATGCAGCTAGCTGACCTCCTGGCACCCAGAATGGAGGTGTCTGCTCACACATCAGGCCTTCCTTGATTTCCCCTGTGTGCCTCCACTTCTCAAGTTTAGTTTTGGAACCATGTGAGAAAGCCAGGCATGGGGAATCTGTAATCCTAGCACTCAGGGGGCTGAGGAAGGAGGACTGGGCTACACCATAAACGTGTCTCACAACCAAACAAATCTGAGAATCGCAGTTCGAAGCCAGCCTGGGTAGATAAGTCCCTGAGACTCACCGCCACGTAACCAGCAAGATACCAGAGGTGGAGCTGTGGCTCATGGGGTAGAGCTCTAGCTTTGAGCAAAAAGAGCTGAGGGACAGCACGCAGACCCTGAGTTCAAGCCTCAGTATTGGTGCACACATGCATGCGTGCACGTGCACACACATACATACACACACACACACAGGTTAGTAAGGCAAAAGGTGGGAAAGGTGTCATGTATATTTAATTTTATTGCCAAAGCCTGCACCAACCCTACAGGTGGAGGGCAGCGACAGTCCAGGGTGGTGACAGGGGGTGGAGGGGGACAGAGAGTGAGCAGGACAAAAGATCCAACGAGCCTCCTGCTCACCCCAGCCAGCCTGGCTCTCCCAGCGTAGACAGTGTGTAAATGAAAACTGAGCTCCTCAGAGGAGACAGCGCCCCATGCCCGCAGAGAAAACAGTGTGAGGAGCGGCTCACCACGGCTCTGTCAAAGGTCACGCATCCCGCTGTTTCCTACGTTAAATGGGCGGTGCCCGCAGCCAGCGGGAGCACACTCCCAAGACAGTGGTTTGGGTTGTTGGGTTTTTTTTCCATTGAATTCACAATTGATTCTCGTTGCTCTATAATATATACATAATATATAATATATTACATATATGCTGTGGTGTCTAGGTTCTAAAAGATTCTTTTGTAAAGAATCAGAGTACTTTCCCATTTGATTTTCATCCAGTTTTGGGTATCTTCTTGAAAATCAGACCTGCCTTTCCAGAAGCCTCTGAGAGGCAAATCCTCACAGCACTCCAAGCTCTCTCTTGAGATCATGACTGACGGGGTCTTCTTCCGTGCCCCCA